TGGGGAGGGGGGAGGGAGGCGCAGCGGCGCGGGAGAGGCAGCGGCGCGGGACAGCGAGGGCGGCGGCGGCCTGGAGAGGCTACGTCGGCGCGGCTAGGGCTGGGGATCGAGGGTTAGGCTGATACCATATAGAGGAATAGGATGCAACTCTCAATGTATTGATAGGTGCATATGCACAAGTATATATAGTACATAGGGCAAGTCATATCCTCAACTATACACAAGGAGGAGACTTGGAGTACAAGAATACATGTGCTAAATACATATCTCAACACGTCCCTCCCAATTCATAAGGCGCGGAGCAAGAAAAGCAGTGGGATCGCGCCGCGGCATGGTCCGGGAAGACTAGACGAGATGGAACCCTAGGCGCCGCGGCGGGATGCATCTGTGTTGGTCCAGGCGCGTCGTCGGAGCGCGCGTCGGAGAGAAAATAGAGAGGCCGCAAAATCTCGCGACTCCAATTACCCACGGCGAATCGTGTTCGTGTACAAGTAGGATTCTGGTTGAGGTGAGTGCCTGATTACTCCGACTCCAATTCCAGTTCGAGTTCCACTGGCCCAATTCCTATACCCAATATTGGATCCATGGTCAATGGAGGTGCAGGCAAGGCAGGCATGTTTCGTCCGGCGTTAGGAGTCGCGCCGAGGACCCTGCTGCGGCCAGGCCATGGCGGCTCGATCTCTGTCGAGGCCGGCCGGAGCTAGCAGGCTGAGACACCTACACGTACGTACGCTCTCTCGTTTAATTCGCTGTCTGTCAGCATGCGTGTGTTGGATGAAATTTTTCTTCATCAAAATTGCAGTCTCATCAGCAGGCGAATGCTGCAGCAGCTACTGCTAGCCACCGCTATGGCCTTTTTCGCAGGTACCTCAAACCGCATGTCATGGCAATGGCCGGATTGTCTACAGCCGGTGTTGGACTTTGGTATACGAACAAGAAACTCCCCCAGTTAGACATTGGACTTTGGTACGATAAGATTATGAACAAGAGCCTCCTCCTATCAGAGATTGGATTTTGGTACGATAAGATTATGAAAAGGGTCCTACCTCCGTCAGAGATTGACTGGGATGTCGTCCCTGCGGATTACCGTGTCTCTGAAGTTGATTGGGTCAAAGCTTGTGTCGTCCCTTCGAATGACTGGGTCGCTGACGTTGACTGGGTTGAAGCCGGTGTGGTCTCTCCGGTTGTGAGGAATCAAAGCCATTGTGGTGAGTGTCTTGGGCATACTTATTCTGTGCTGCAAGGTACGTAGTGTGTGTTCTATACTGTTCTACCATTAGCAGATCAAAGTGATTTCCTATTGCGTGCAGCTTAGCTAATTCTGGGATGCAACTACCATATAGAGCTACCGCATATCAGCAGTTCAGCGCATGGATTCCCTTCATGTTACAACTCGCAACTCCTTATAACTTACTCATGCATTTGTCACAGGCTGTTGTTGGGCGATGGCTGCTGCAGCCTCAGTTGAAGCTATGCATTACCTCAAGACCTCCAAGTCAATCTCACTATCTGTTCAAGAGCTCATCGACTGTGACACAAAGAGCAAAGGGTGTGACGGCGGCCTCATACAGAATGCTTTAAGGTATGTACAAGAAAATGGGCTCTCAAGTGAACCCCACTACCCATACAAGGGTGAGAGGAGTATATCGGGTTGCAAGCAGAATAAAGTAGCAGCAACATCAAGGATATCTGGGTTTCGATTTGTCGGCCCAACCGAGGATGCTCTAGAGAAAGCGGTAGCTAGGCAGCCTGTGGTTGTCAGTTTGCACTGTTCCGATGGCCTGATGAGGTACTACAAAGGAGGCATCGTGGATTATGAACCTGTCAGCGGCATGACCAACGAGGAACACTATGTCCTGATTGTTGGTTATGGCACCGATTCCAATGGCGTCAAATACTGGCGCTTCAAGAACTCGTGGGGACCAAACTGGGGCGAAGGGGGGTTTGGGAGGATCCGCAGGCATGTTAAAGACAAACGAGGAGCGTTGGGTATTTTCCTGAAACAAGGAGTATATCCGGTGCTTAAGGACTGATGACCTTTTCATGTATGGTTGAATCTTTTATTAGCAAAATTGTTCTTTACCTTTGCTGGTGTAATTGCAACTTACAATCTTTCTGTCTATGTTGTGAATCTAGTCTACGTTGGAGATCTTCCTAGCAAAACTTTATCGACCTTTATCTATGTTTTGCTAGTGAAAATTATTGTTCATCGATCCTTCATGGTAAGTCTTTGTTTGGCACTGGGATGGATAATTATAATCCTGTTTGCCTAACCAGGTTTTTTTTTATTGTTTAGTGAGGTATATCCTATTTCTATATATATAGCTAACTTTTGTAACCCTTCCGCGACAAATTATAAAGAGTAAATTGCATTTTTACCCCTTACTTTGGCATTTTTAATTCTAATTACCTCGGTAAATATCTTTTGTTAGCAAAATTGTATCCCTTTCCCAGTTGCAATGATACATTCGTTTTACTTTGCTGGTGTAATTGCAGCTTACAATCTTTTTGTCTATGTGGCGAATCTAGTCTATGTTGGACATCTTTCTAGCGAAACTTTATCATCCTTTATCTATATTTTGCTAGTGAAAATTACTGTCCGTCCGTCGATCCTTCACTGTAAGGCTTTGTTTGGCATTATGATGGTTAACTATAATACCGTTTGCCTAACCAGGTTTTTTGATTGTTTAGTGAGGTATATTTCCTATTTCTATGTATAGCTATTTTTTTAACCATTCCAGGACAAATTATAAAGAATAAATTACATTTTTACCCCCTACTTTGGCATTGTTTACTCTAATTGCCGCAGTAAATATCTTTTCATTCGGATTAACTTGTTTATAGAAAGTTTTGTCAATTTTTTCCCCTTATAATTTCTTTGAGAGCGATCTGCCAGGTGGGTCCTGGAATCAGGTACACATGATGTGCCACGTCACGGCGGTTCAATTTCTTGCACACACCATATGTAGTAAGTAGGAAGTGCGGCCTGACGCACACCAAATTGATTCCGTTGTATTCAACCCTGTAAATCAAAATACATGTTACACATGATGCAAAGGTTCAAAGCATGAAGATTCATTACACCCCACTATTACACGCCATCGTAGCATGATACGAAATGAATCAAGGTTCAATTATAGCACCAAAAGGATGCCATAGTGGTGTTTTCGTATCACCTACTTGCACTGCTTTTGTACAACATGGCAGGAAACAATATAGTAGACTATTAGCTACATAGATAGCTCTATATATGCTTGCCGTCCAGTTTACTTGCGTGTTGTGATGCACAAAACTGCTGAAAGACATATCATGTTATTAGCTAAAGGACTTTTATAACTACCAAAGGTTTGAATTTTAGCAATAGGCAAGAACGATCCTTAATACACTCTAATTATATATATGCATGTATTAGAATGACTAATTTTCCTTTCACGTGCACTCCTCCCTCTAATTACATGCATATATGCATTAAAGAATGAAAAGCTGATGTCATCCTAGATTCCTTCTTTTTTCAAACTTCAAAATGTTTTATAGATCAAACTGTCACTCCAATTAAAAAACCGTCTTCACAAAAAATAATCGTCTCGATGAGATCTTCGAAACTAGATCCCATGTTGATATGTTTTGATGACTTTTTTTCCGATCAAAAGTTACCACATCTGGGCTACGTAAGTTATCACGTTTGTCATACATAAGTTACCGTGTCATTTACACAACATTTTTCAGGGTATGTTTTCAACAAGCTTTTATCCTAGGGTAAAAAAGTGATTATGATGTTCGCAGTGAGTTATTGTGTATATTACCATGTTGCACAAAAGTTATCGGGGTATATTTTTCAACCATTTTCATTTCCTTCGTCAAAAAATTACTGCGATATTTGTATATGATTTATCAGCTCTCGTGTGTGTGTATTATCATGTTGTTTGCACATGAGTTATTGGGATGTATTTTTTAAGAATATTTTTCCTGGTCAAAAAGTTACCACGTCTGGATTAAGTACGTTATCAGCTTTGTTGTATCTATATTACCATGTTATTTACACGTAAGTTATCAGGGTATGTTTTTAACAAATTTTTATCCTGGGATCAAAAGTTATCATGGGGTTTGTAGTGAGTTATCAACTTTATTGTGTGTATTATACCGTGTTATTTCCACACAAAGTATCGGGAATATGTTTTTCAACAAATCCACCCCCTCTCCCTCCGCAGTTCATCTAATTATCAGGTATGCAGTGCTTCCATTACCATGATATTCACGCAAACGTTATCGAGGTTATATTTCCCAACAATTTTTCATCGGGGTCCAAGTTATCATGGTGTTTGTACCTAACTTATCATGTATATGATGCGTTATTACCATGATGTTTATACAAAAGTTAGCAGGGTACATTTTTGACAACTTCTTTCCTTCAGGTCAAAGTTGCTATGGTGTTTATGCCTAAGTTATCAGGCTTGCCATGTAGAAAATACTGTGTTGTTTACACATAAATTATCGAGGAGATGTTTCAATAATTTTTTCACCCTCGGTCGAAATTACCATGACATTTATACGTAAGTTATCGGGTCCCCGTCCACAAATTACCATGTCGTTTGCACAGACGTTACCGGGGTATGTTTCAACCCAAAAAATCCCTCGTATGAAGTTGCCATGATATAACGAGCCTACATGAGCAAGGTATACAACCAGTTGATATATAGGAGACTACAAGACAACTTGAGAAATCCAAAAAACACAAGAAGAAAAATGCTTTTTTTGGCTCATATGAAAGTGAAAAAAGGTTAACTATCATATTTCTACTTATTGTATATATCCAATTGCTAGCTTAGTTGGTTAGTCTTGCATTCCTTGAATGGTGAGATCAAGAGATCAATTCCTATCCCGTGCACTTAGGTTTTTATTTAAAATGAAAAAGTAGCTTTAAATGGCAGTACGCATAATTAGGAGCCCATTAATCATGCTAATTAGGATACGAGGGAATTAAATCATGCTAATTAAGAGTCAGGAGACTAAATCGAGTCAATTAATAGAATCCATGATTAAAAAATAGGTCAATCCATAGATTCCGTAATTAAAATCCCGTTAATTAAGGAGACACAAAAAAAGGAAGGACTCTTATAACTATCAAAAGTTCAGTTTTTAACAATAGGCAAGAACGATCCTTACTTCACTCTAATTACATACATTCATGTATTAGAATGACTAATGTTCCTTTCACGTGCACTTCTCTATCTAATTACATACATATATGCACTAAAGGATGAAAAGCTGATGTCATCCCAGATTTTTTTTGTCAAACTTCAAAATGTTTTGTAGCTCAAACCGTCGCTTTGTTTGAAAAACCGTCTTCACAAAAAAAATTCGTCTCGACGACTTCGAAACTAGATCCCATGTTGGTATGTTTTGATGATTTTTTTCGGACCAAAAGTTACCACATCTGGACTACGTAAGGTATCACGAATGTCATACATAAGTTACCGTGTCATTTACACAAAAGTTTCTGGGGTATGTTTCAACAAACTCTTATCCCAGGGTCAAAAAGTGATTATGTTGTTTGCAGTGAGTTATCAGCTTTGTTGTGTATATTACCATGTTACACAAAAGTTATCGGGATATGTTTTTCAACAGTTTTCATTTCATCGGTCAAAAAATCACCGGATATTTGTATATGAGTTATCAACTCTCATGTGCGTGTATTATCATGTTGTTTACACATGAGTTGTTGGAAGGTATTTTTTATCAAATTTTTTCCTTGGTCAAAAAGTTACCATGTCTGGATTAGGTAAGTTATCAGCTCTGTTGCATGTATATTACCATGTTATTTACACACAAGTTATCAGGGCATGTTTTCAACAAACTTTTATCCCGGGGTCAAAAGTTATCGTGGGTGTAGTGAGTTATCAACTTTACTGT